GGCCTCCAGAGGGGCGGCCTGCCCCTGCAGGGAGCCTTGGGCTGCCCCTACAGAGTCTGTTTCCGGCTGGGGTGCGGACTGAGGTCTACCGGTGCTCAGAGGAGCTGCCTGCTGGCCACCGGATCCTCGGAGATGCTGGGGCCTTTCCTGCAGGGTGACGTCTTTTCCGGCCCGCCTCTCTCGGTCACGAAGGCTTCTCAGTATAGGGATTTTCTCCATCATTTCATGGCTGATCTGAAAAGGCAAAGCAGCCCCGCTGTCCTCAGAGTGCCCCAGCAGGGCACTGCCACCCCGGGCACTGGGGCCCTGAGCCCGCTGTCTGCACAGTGCACTGACTGGAACCCGTGGTCCCACTAGGCCCTGAAAAGTTGGCGCCCCGGGTTCCACAGAGACACAGGGACCTGCAGCCCTGAGCCCCAGCCCTGACTCGGTGGCGCGCCCTGGAGTGCGACCCACACGTCGTCATGCAGACTGCGGACAGGGCGCGTCTCCACTCCGAGGCCTGGAATGCGGAAGGCTGAAGCTGGGCTCCTCAGCCTGGAGGAGGTGCCTGAGGTCACCAGTATTGCAGCTCCTCGACTACTCCCCAGGGCGGGGATCTGCCTCCCACACTGCTCTTGGTGGGGATCAGGTCTTGAAGAGGGCCATGGGCTCTCCTTACAGAGGCGCGACCCGCACTGGCCAGCCCGCCACTGCAGCCAAACGTGTCTGAACGAACGCCGTCGCCACGTCTCCACACAGGGCCTCCACGGAGGGCACCTTCGGCTGCTTCTCCACTCACCGCGGCCACAACAGGTGCCTCCTGGGATGCCACGGCACAGGACAGGGGCTCGGCCCCAGCATCCAAGGGTAGCGTGGCCTGCCAGGACCGGTCTCATCCGGTTGGTCTAAGAAAGATTCAGATAGAGCACGTGCAGTGGGACTCACAGGGCTCTGGGCCTCCAGCCCGCCAGGACCCAGAGCACGTGCCTGGGGTGTTTTCAAGCCACCTGGGCCTGCTCTGTGGCTCCCAGCTCCTCCTCCAGCATGCTAGACCATGCCAGAGGCCGGGCCGGAAGGTACCTTTAATACACGTTGCGTGAAAGACACAGGGGGGGCCTCCGCACAGCTACGTCGCCCCGAGCCACGCACCCAGGCCGTACTCGGCAAGAGACAGGCGACGGCGTTTAGCTCCACATTACCAACGGCACGCCGGCGCGCGGGGGACTGTGCAGAACAGGCGCACACGAACGCCACCCTTCCCCGTGCAGCTGCTCCACTCCTTCCAAGAGCAACGCGTCTCGGGAAGGACAGACGCAGGCTGGCATAGTCCTCGGCCAGTTCAGGAACGGCCCTCCCCAACTACGTGGTGGCCCTGGCACTTTCCCCGAGGCTCCCCGTCCCCGTCTCAA